GGAATTTTTTGCGATTTTTGCAATTTTCACAATTTTCAGGAATTTTTGCAATTTTTGCAATTTTCGGAATTTTTTGCAATTTTTGCAATTTTCAGGAATTTTTGCGATTTTTGCGATTTTCAGTCATTTTGCGATTTTTGCAATTTTCAGTCATATTTGCAATTTTTGCAATTTTCAGGAATTTTTGCGATTTTTGCAATTTTCAGGAATTTTCGCAATTTTTGCAATTTTCAGGATTTTTGCAATTTTTGCAATTTTCAGGAATTTTTGCGATTTTTGCAATTTTCACAATTTTCAGGAATTTTTGCGATTTCTGCAATTTTCAGTAATTTTTGCGATTTTTTGCATTTTCAGGAATTTTTGCGATTTTTGCAATTTTCAGGAATTTTTGCGATTTTTGCAATTTTCTGGAATTTTTGCGATTTTTGCAATTTTCAGTCATTTTACAATTTTTGCAATTTTCAGGAATTTTTGCGATTTTTGCAGTTTTCAGTCATTTCTGGCGATTTTGCAATTTTCGGTCATTTTTACGATTTTTGCAATTTTCAGTCATTTTTTGCGATTTTTGCAATTTTCAGTCATTTTTGCGTTTTTTGCAATTTTCAGGAATTTTTGCGATTTTTGCAGTTTTCCAGTCATTTTTGCGATTTTTTGCAATTTTCAGTCATTTTTGCGATTTTTGCAATTTTCAGTCATTTTTGCGATTTTTGCAATTTTCAGTCATTTTTTTGGCGATTTTTGCAATTTTCAGTAATTTTTGCGATTTATGCAATTTTCAGTCATTTTTGCGATTATTGCAATTTCAGGAATTTTTGCGATTTTTTGCAAATTTTCAGTCATTTTTTACGATTTTTGCAATTTTCAGTCATTTTTGCAATTTTCAGGAATTTTTGCGATTTTTGCAGTTTTCAGTCATTTTTGCGATTTTTGCAATTTTCAGGTCATTTTTGCGATTTTTGCAATTTTCAGTAATTTCTGCGATTTATGCAATTTTCAGTCATTTTTTGCGATTTTTGCAATTTTCAGGAATTTTTGCGATTTTTGCAATTTTCAGTCATTTTTTACGATTTTTGCAATTTTCAGTCATTTTTGCGATTTTTGCAATTTTCAGTCATTCTTGCGATTTTTGCAATTTTCAGTCATTTTTACGATTTTTGCAATTTTCAGGAATTCTAGCAATTTTTGCAATTTTCAGGCATTTTTATGATTTTTGCATTTTTCAGGCATATTTGCCATTTTTGCAATTTTCAGGAATTTAGGAATTTTTAAATTCTCCGGACTTCTTGCAATTTTTGTTATTTCCAGGAATTTTTCCAATTTTCAGGAATTTTAGAAATTTTTACAATTTCCAGGAACTTTTGCAATTTTCAGGAAATTTTGCGATTTTTCCTAATTTTCAGGAATTTTTGCGATATTTGTTTTTTTTTTTTTCAATTTTCAGGAATTTTTGCAATTTTTGCAATTTTCAGGAATTTTTGCATTTTCAGGCATTTTTGCAATTTTCGCAATTTTCAGGAATTTAGTAATTTTTACAATTTTCCGGATTTTTTGCAATTTTTGCATTCTTCAGGAATTTTTCCAATTTTCAGGAACTTTTAGTAATTTTAGGAATTGTTTCAATTTTCAGGAATTTTTGCGATTTTTGCAATTTTTGCAATTTTTTCTAATTTTCAGGATTTTTCAATTTTTGCTTTTTCTGCAATTTTCAGGAATTTTTGCAATTTTCAGGAATTTTAGCAATTTTTGCAATTTTCAGGCATTTCTGCGATTTTTGCAATTTTCAGGCATTTTTGCGATTTCTTTGGAACTTACAATTTTCCGTAATTTTTGCAATTTCTGCATTTTTCAGGAATTTTTCCAATTTTCAGGAATTTTTAAAATTTTTACGATTTCCAGGAATTTTTCCAATTTTCAGGTATTTTTGCGATTTCTGCAATTTTCAGAAATTTTTCTAATTTTCAGGAATTTTTGCAATTTTTGCTATTTCTGCAATTTTCAGGAATTCTAGCAATTTTTGCAATTTTCAGGAATTTTTGCAATTTCTGCAATTTTCCGGCATTTTTACGATTTTTGCATTTTCAGGCATTTTTGCCATTTTTGCCATTTTCAGGAATTTAGGAATTTTTAAAATTTTCGGACTTTTTGCAATTTTGCATTTTTCAGGAATTTTTCCAATACTGTCTGTAGGTTAATCGAGGAGGTGGTATATTCATTATTCCAAATTTTTTGGGATTTTCTCTCCTCGTTTCTATAAAATAAAAATATGTATATTATTTCAATATACGTGTAGTAAGGACAAATCAGATGATTTGCCCCAAAATGTCACTGCGTTTAAAGAATTTTCCTATCAGAGAGCCTAAAAGAAAAATTGTCACTGACAAGCTAGTGAATTTTTCTTTTAGGCTCTCTGATAGGAAAATTCGTTTAAACGCAGTGACATTTTGGGGCAAATCATCTGATTTGTCCTTACTACACGTATATTGAAATAATATTCATATTTTATTTTATAGAAACGAGGAGAGAAAATCCCAAAAAATTTGGGAATAATGAATTTTTCCAATTTTCAGGAATTTTTGAAATTTTCACAATTTCCAGGAACTTTGCAATTTTCAGTAGTTATTGCGATTTTTGTTTTTGTTTTTTAATTTTCAGTAATTTTTGCAATTTTTGCTATTTTCTGCAATTTTCAGGAATTTTTGCAATTTTTGCAATTTTCAGACATTTTTGCAATTTTCGCAATTTCCAGGAATTTAGGAATTTTTACAATTTTCCGGATTTTTTGCAATTTTTGCATTCTTCAGGAATTTTTCCAATTTTCAGGAACTTGGAATTTTTACATTTTTTAGGAATTGTTCCAATTTTCAGGAATTTTTGCAATTTCTGAAATTTTGCAATTCTCAGGAATTTTTGCAATTTTTGAAATTTTCAGGATTTCTGCAATTTTCAGGAATATTTGCAATTTCTGCAATTTTCAGAAATTTCGCAATTTTCAGGAAATTTTGCAAATTTTCAGGAATTCTTACAATTTTTGCAATTTTCACAATTTTCAGGAATTTTTGCTATTTTTGCTATTTTTGCAATTTTCAGGCATTTTTGCCATTTTTGCAATTTTCAGGAATTTAGGAATTTTTAAAATTTTCCGGACTTTTTGCAATTTTTGCATTTTTCAGGAATTTTTCCAATTTTCAGGAATTTTCGAAATTTTTACAATTTCCAGGATCTTTTGCAATTTTCAGGAAGTTTTGCGATTTTTTCTAATTTTCAGGAATTTTTGCGATATTTGGATTTTTTTTTCAATTTTCAGGAATTTTTGCAATTTTTGCTATTTCTGCAATTTTCAGGAATTTTTGCTTTCAGGAATTTTTGTGAGTCGATTCTCATGAAATCTTTCACCTTATGGAATGGTGGGTTAGATTTTGACCCACCGTTTTTTTTGTAAAAATTGGGAATTTCTGAAATTATTTTATATTTGTTCGTATCTTTTGAGACATTTGGAGTTAGTTTGTTAATGAATCTCTGGAAAATCTGAAGGAAAATAAAGCTGGACATCTAGGGGGTGTTATATTTCGAAATTCCTGTGCCTGAAAGAGTTAACAGGTAAGGCCCCCGTCATTCCTTGCGCGCACAATACTTTCGAAGACCTCTGATGGTTGCTCGTAAGGGGACAACCGAATGACGGATAGAACTACAATTTCAGAACAATTTATGTTGATGCCATCCTGAATATTTTTTTGTTTCAGGCTCAAAGACTCCAGTGGATGGCAGCTTGTATTCACCAGCCCATACATAGAGAGTTGTATCGAACGTATCGCCATCAATGCCAAAATGGGCTCGACTGAAACTTCGAAAATGGTCGCCATATCGTATGGTAGTCAGGTCAGGCTGTGGGGAATTTCGGATGCAGGATCTAGAACTAATATAGGTGAGAGAATGACAACAAATTGTGTTTACCTCACCTCAAAGTGTGTGAATCATAGACATATAAAAAGAGGGGAGACAAAATTTCATTCATAAAATACTATTTCTTTGTTCTTTATTTCCCCGAGAAACATCTTTTATTTTTTTAGGAAAATTGTGCAATTATTATTGTTTCGATTTATTATGTTTTATAATATGTATGCTTTGTTGTATATATCCCTATTATAAACAATAATGTTTCTTGGGGTAATAAAGACAATCAATATATAAACATGACAAAAAAAAAACACCCGACTGATTAAAAAGTTATGTCAATATAACATAATAATTAAAACAAAAGCATTCCCAGTATCCAAGTAAGAATAAAATTGCTCCGTTCATAGTGACATAAGTTCATATTCTTTCATATTAATTTTGAATCTTTTTTCATCATGAATATGTTTCAATTCATAAGGTAATAAATTATATAAATTAATTCCATTTTAGAATATTGATTGTTTGCCATATGGATTTGCTATTAATCAATCAATCAATCAATTTTATTATTCCCAAGAAACAACATTTGTTTATAGCAGGGAACATAGTGAATACATAAATATATTTGACAAAATTAAATAAAGAAGACAGTAAAATAAGACTCACACTCAAAAAGAATCTTTTTTTTTTTCAACAATCATACTTCCAAAGTTTCAAATAAGGTAGAAAGAGATGGCTTTGAAAAATGGCAACGCTGTGAACTGTGCGTCAATTTCAATACAAAATATTCGTAGTAGGTACCTTAGGTACTGACCTATCTTTGACCCATCATTTAGTGGAATTTGAACAAAAGAAACAAGGTTTCTTGCAATAATTTAGTTAAATATTCTGCCATAACTACATCACTGCTCAAGTTAAAAGAAACATATAACCTTACTTCTGTCGTGGCATATAGCCAGGAAAGTAGTTTTTTTTAATTAATAAACCGAGAAAGAATTGATATTTTTATCACATAGAGAATGCGAATTTTCAATGTATTTCTTTATATATATTTATCCATTTTTTCATGTTCATAATTTATCTGAGAATATCCCTTTTCAACACATAATATGTTTTATTTCGGATTCAAAATGAAAGAACCTAAAGCTATAACCTGTTAAAATGGGTAAAGTAAAAGAAATTGGAATTTAAAAATAATTAATGTTGACGTCATTATGACGTAACTGCCTCCCAACACCTTCACCACAATACTATAACTGGGTTTAACGGACTGTGAATGAAATATCCCTCATATGTAACGATTGGCCAAACGATCTGTAGGCAATGAATCTCGGGTCTAGGCACTTTCAATCTCCACGTCCGAGTGGAATACCTCTTCTTCATCGGCAGCCAGCTGGTGGCGCTCTCTCCCTCGGGCAAATTGGGCGTATGGCACGCCATGACGCAGCACTGGCAGACGCAGGACGTCATGCCGATAGCGTCGTTCGACACTGCCGGCTCCATACTGCTGTTGGGATGCAACAACGGCTGCATTTATTACATAGGTGAGTGACAGTTTGTGGATTTCTTATTTATGCGTGAGTTTGTTAGGTGACAGTGTTGGTACACTCCCCTCGTAAGGGAACCTGTTTGGTTTCCATACAGAACATACAGCAAAAGGTATATCATTTCTAATATAGAAACAGATTGAGTTCGGATCATCATGTGACTTTCAAACAATGATATATATTCAAAAACTATTGACAAAGTTTACAAAACAGTTTTTCTGGCTCCAAACTGCTGTTGGGATGCAACAACGGTTGCATTCATTACATAGGTGAGTGACAATTTGTGGATTTCTTAGTTATGCGTGAGGTTGATAGAGGACAGTGTTGGTACACTCCCCTCGTAAGGAAACCTGTTTGGTTTTCATACTAAACATACAGAAAAAGGTGTATTATTTCTGATATTGAATCAGATTGAGTTCGGATCGTCATGTGACTTTCAAACAATGATATATATTCAAAAACGATTGACAAAGTATACAAAACAGTTTTTCTGGCTCCATACTGCTGTTGGGATGCAACAACGGCTGCATTCATTACATAGGGGAGTGACAGTTTGTGGATTTCTTATTAATGCGTGAGGTTGTTAGGAGACAGTCTTGGTACACTCCCCTCGTAAAGGAACCTGTTTGGTTTCCATACAGAACATACAGAAACATGTGTATTATTTCTGATATAGAATCAGATTGAGTTCGGATCGTCATGTGACGTTCAAACAACGATATATATTCAAAAACTATTAACAAAGTATAAAAAACAGTTTTTCCGGCCCATTTCTGATGTTGGGATGCAACAACGGCTGGATTTATTACATAGGTGAGAAACAGTTTGTGGATTTTTTAGTGGTGTGTGAGTGACGAATGACGGATAGAACAATTTAAGAACAATTAAGTTTGTTAGGGGACAGTGTTGGTACACTTCCCTCGTAAGGGAACCTGTTTGTTTTTCATACAGAACATACAGAAAAAGATGTATTATTTCTAATATAGAATCAGAATCAATTCTCGACCTAGAGATATTTCCTGTAAAACCGGAAGTGATATTCAATTGTTTTTTTTTTCATGAGAAATATGGACTCGTAAGGAACTATATCTTTGATCCAGATGTCAAAAGTCCAACATAAAAAACAGCTGAATGACATGATTTCGTTGTCACCCGCTATATATTCGAAATTTATTGACAAAATATACAAAATAATTTGTCTACAACCGATTAACCATGTAGCCTTTGACATTGTCAATTCTCAAAATAGACGTTATCAGTGTCTGACAGCATTTGTCGTGCGGCAATCAATAACTTTGTGCTCTAAATACATACATATTTGAGTGAAGACGGAACAGTAGTTGTTAACAATTTTATTTTTGCAGATATGCAAAAGTTTCCATTGCGAATGAAAGACAACGATTTGCTTGTAACGGAACTCTACAGGGATCCAAACAACGATCCAGTGACAGCTATTTCTGTTTATTTGACGCCCAAAACCAGTGAGTATTGCATATTTATTCATTATTTGATTCACCTCAGCTTTCATTGTTTATCAATTTTCATGTATTTACTCAAATCTCATGTATCTTATTCGATGGAACCGATTTGAGGTCGTTTCATTGTAACAAAAGTCCATTATTTTTTGATAGTTTTCTCAGACACATGTACACAATCATATTCTCAATATATCCCTTTAGTTTGGCTTTCACCAAGATATGAAAATTTACTCTTGCAGTTTTCAAAGTCCTTAAAAAAATGGGGAAGTTTCCTTCGGATCAGTTTTGATCAAACCAGTTTGCACTGATTAGACTACATTTTTTCCCAATATAAAATGCCGACAACGATGACATAATCAATGAATCTAGTATGGATGTAACTATGATTAGAGTTCCTAAATGTACTTGACACTGGATATTTTAACGTTTTCGTAAATTAAGAGTACGAACATTCTACTAGAAGTGACAGTGAGATATAACCAAAAACGATTTCGAAGTAAATGATATCTTTTGTCAGGCAAGGGCAAGAATATGTTTTTCGCTTAGATAAAGATGAAGTAGGAAACCATAATAATATTATATGAATGATATGGGTGTACAGATAGTTTGGCTCTCGACTCACTATAGATCGTCGTGCACATTACTAAAGAGGTTGTTGGGTCGAATCGGGCCATCGGAAGATCGTTTTCAATAAAAATAAATGGTGCCGGATGAGTGTTCTTGTCCTGTCAGCATCTTTTGGCAACCCAGGGATTTCAACTCTGAAGGAAGCGATGCACAAACAATATTATATCTCAAATAGGTACATCAGCTTTCCCCACCTTTGAAATCAATGTCATTTACGTTTGTTTACTGTCATTTCTTTTTTTTTATCAATTTAATTGTGGTTATGTCTTACTGTCAGTACTTGTCATAGTGTCCGTACTCTAAATATACAAAAACGTCGAAACTGCTGTTGGAACTCTAGGTATGATAAGTTTTGCTGTTCGTTGAACATCCTCACAAGCCCGAACTGATTTGTAAAAATTTTATGTTCAATGTATTCAAGTATTATATAATTCATGAGTTTGTTATAATTGTATAGTTAGGTATTATTGTTAACTGTACTTTCTTATACCAGAACTTGTTTCTGACTGAATGTCTCATTTTCAACAAATGAAAATAATGAAAATAAATTATTAAATAATAAATAAAATTAGAAGAAGAATGCATAAGCTCCTGGGCGAGAAACAAAAATATCAAATAATTCACATTAGGTACCTAATAATCACGCATTTATGAGTGATGTTTGGTGTAAACTGGTTTAAGATAAAAATGTGGGCGCGGTGCCAGATTTCATGTCTTAATTCCTTTGGAACAATTAAAATAATCGACTCTGAAACGTTCAAAGTTAGAATTCCAATTTGATTCCATCAATTTCAAAATTCAACGTTAGAAAAAATTTAAAATACCTAAAAATTAAAATATACAGGGTGTTGGGAAATTCGACCGACAACGCTTGACAAGTGATAGCCCTCGTGATTTCATAATCACTGAAATAGGGACATTCGGTCAGTTCTCTAGTTACAGGGCGTTAAAGTTGAGAAATAGAAATAGTTTTTTCGCAATATCTCATGAATGATTGAATAAAATGCATTCAAATTCGGTATATGGTGTCATATTTGAATGGGTCATTTTTTGACCAGAAAGCCATTCCGGACATTTCATCCAGTGGTGCCCTACAGGGGGTTGTGGTAACTTTCCCTCTCATATTTTCTACGCCACTGATGAAATTTCGATTATTTCCAATTCCTCGAATTCATTGTTCAATTTTGTTCAAAAAATGCATCACCTTCAACTGAGCTAAAATGAACAGTTTTCGAGAGGTTCGACCCAAAATAGGAGATTACATAGTAATATTCCATCATTTTCAGTAGTAGAAAATTACAAAAATATTTTTCTGGTGTTGAGTAGATAAGATACTATTCAGATCTCATTCTGTAGCTGAACAGAAATATTTATTCCACGCATAAAGAGAAAACAATAGTTATTTATGTATTAAGGGAATTATGAGGGCCTTAATTACCGATGGCAAAGTTTGCGTCCCGAGGGCCTCTGGCCCGAGGGACAGCAATTGCCAGAGGTTATTGAGGCTCAATAATTCCCGTGATACATAGATAATTTTATTTCTGACTGATTTCATTCATTAGATACCTTCCAGATTGGAAGTTAGACATGTTTTTCCGTATAGTTTCAATGTCATCAGAACGTCAGATGATGATCTTGACTACCGCGAATAGGAGATTCCTTATTGCTAGGTTATTGCGTGGTTGTTGCTATGCATTTCTTATTTAATTTCAGCTAGAGGGAATTATAGCATCTATAACATCCCAAGGGAGTTATGACCCTCATAATAGATATCGTAACTATGACGATATAAGCTTATAATGCCACTGTCAGAAATAAATATTTTTGTAATTCTGTACTACTGAAGAAGATGAAAAATTACTATGCAAACTTCTATTTTGGATCAAATTTCTCTAGAACTGTTCATTTTTTAGCTCAATTGAAGGTGATGCATTTTTTCAACATTATTGAACAAGCGATTCGATAAATTAGAAATAATTAGAATTTCATCAGTGGCGTGGAAAATATGGGAGGAAAAGTTATCACAACCTCCTGTAGTGCACCTCTGGATGAGATTCTTGGAATGAATTTCTTGTCAGAAAATGAACCATTGGAAGATTTATTTATTTATTTGTCCATACAGGCCTAGTGGCCTATTTACATGGATCAATACACAGATATATATTTACACATTTAAAAGCAAAAAAGTACTCTTTCTTCATTCATACTACTATCAGAACTGGAGGGGGATTCGTATGACAAGTTGTACACAATTATTGAAATGATGATTAATATTATTGGAAGTGAACAATTTTGCAACATTCCTTTTTTACATGGAGTGAATGCAAGCTGAATAAACGTTAGGGAAAATCTGTTTATGATGAGAGGTTGATTATTTGAGTGATGATCAATCTATAAAAGGCAGATTGAGACAAAGTCCATTCCAAGTTCAACATTCCATCAAAAGTATTAACTAAGCGCAAAATAGTTGCTAGTGGGGCTCTGCAACCTGAAATGGACAATGATATCTTGAAAGGTGCTGTAAATCGCGTTCGACGAGATGGTACATTAAATGGAATCAATGACAAGATTTCTGGTGAGTTTATCTTATTGTTTATAACTTTATATAGAAACATCATCGCTAGTAGGTTTCTTCTTTGTTCTAAGGCTAAGATTTTAAATTCCTTCCTCAGTTGTACCGTGCGGACATAATTATAGTCAGGCCATACGTGATTCTTTTTAAAATACAGGTACCTGAGGAATTTATTTTGTATCTTTTCAATCTCCTTCAAGATTGTTATGTGCTCTCCTAACCATATCACAGAAGCAAATTCAAGTTTTGGTCTTACCAAGCTGTAATAAAGTAATTTTATGGTATCCACATTATTGAAGCTATGAGTTTGTCGAATCAAAAATCCTAAAGCACGGTTTGCATCCCGAACTATTTTAGAAATATGATTTGTGAACGAAAAAACATTGTTATATGTTACTCCCAAATCCCTAACCTCAGTTTTCCGTGCTAACATTTCATTGTCCATCTGATATTCGAACTTAATAACATTTTTTAAACGAGTTATTGTTAAAATATAGCATTTTTTCACATTAAAGTATAATTTATTGTTGTAACTCCACTCTACAATGCTATTGATATCTTTTTGTATCATCACACAATCTCGCACAGTTTGTATACGCTTGAATATTTTGAGGTCATCTGCATAGAGCAGACATTCTGAATAATTAATACAGGACGGTAGATCATTGATGAATAAGACAAACAGCAGGGGTCCTAGATGAAACCATATACCGAATTTGAATGTGAAATATTCAATCAATTCTGAGATATTGCGAAAAAACGATTATTATTTCTTAACTCCAACGCCCTGTATCTCGAGAACTGAACACTTGAGGAGCGTATGTCCCTATCTCAGTGATTATGAAATCACGAAAGCTATCACCTGTCAAGCGTTGTCGGTCGAATTTCGCAACACCCTGTAGAAAATTTCCCCATTAGTAACCAAGTTTGAATAAACGCCTGACGATAACCCAATGGGTTAAAAATCAACAGTAGATTGATTCTTGTTTTTGTCTGATAGTGACACTGCGTCGGCTTAATTTGCAGGGATCGTAAGTCCAAAATACCAAATATTACAGGAAACCAAAAAAGTTTGAAATGATAATCAAATATAAAATTGACCATGCAACTTCAACTTATATTGAAATATTCAATATTCATTCTGATATATACAAGATGGGAAAAAAATCACTCCATACTTATTTTGAAGGACTTACGAGAGGATTTACGATTGTTTCCCTTTCTTTTTCGGATATTCGATGGACTTACAATGTTTGCGATGAATATGAGGACTACTATGATTTTCACAATTTTATCGACTGAAATGTTACGCAAAAATGAAAAATCATAAAAAAATATTCAGAATTTAAACATGACTTGACATTTTTTGTCTATCATATATTATTAGCAAAGAAAAAAATCGTTCAGATGCCAAGGAAAAACTTGGCAAATAATTATTATTAATATTTATTGATGATTAGGTATAATAATGCTCACTGACCTTATGGAAAACACTTTTTCACTGAAATATATTTTAAATACTAAATGAATAGCCAAAAACTGGAGCAAACAATGAACAATCACATCTGTTACTACAATGGTGGACGTACGAATTTTTCTACATGCTTCTAATATTTGGGAGTTACAATGCTTGGTGAAGAGACTGCTTGATTTTTTTTTTCGTCAGATGGCCCCAAAATCTCATCTTCGATTAAAATCGGACTTACACCCTTATTGAATCAAGCCGACGCACTGTCTTTGAATTTTTCGTACCGTTGAAATTGATAATTGCTCAAATTATTTTCGTTGATCCATGAGATTTGGG